AACGATATAAAATGTAAAAGAAACCACATATATAATAATCGAACTCAAAGAATAAAAGCAATTACAAGGGTAATGCTATGATTAATTTTAATATGGCTCACATTTGAAAATTTGAATTGTAAACTTTCAATTGTACCATATAAATTAGAACAAAGAAAGTATCACATATATATTTTTTGTCATATTGAGAAAATAAATACACTTTGTATAAAGTCACATCAAGAGCAGACCGTTGAGGGAGCTACAAGTCAAATCAATATTCATTCATTTTTGGAAACTTTATAATTGATTAATTAATTATTATGTTTATTGTACGTGCAAGTTAGATGATGAAGGGCAAATCAAAGGCCATTTACATGCATGTAATTATTATTAAAGAGGAAAAGACTGGTTACACTAATTTCTTGTGATGAATTTCAACTTTTTCAATTATATTACGTACATATAGTTCCTTTAGCCGCCAACCAAACACTCTTTTCCGATAAAAAAACACATTTGAATTATCATTTCTTCGTAAGTTTCATATTTTAACCATCAGTAGTTCATTTTTTTTCTTCATGTGAGCAATAGTCATCTAGTAGGTATTAAAACACATATAAACTTTATATCAATTATTCCGTTTCCCTATTTGATTGATAGTGATAATTCAAGTAGAAAAATAAACAACTGATAGTTAATGTTAGTTAATGTGTGTTTTAGTATGAATGATGATATTTCAGGTAGGAAAAAGTGAAATGACTGTGGCAAAGTGATTTTTTTTTATTTAATTAAAAAACATAGATTGAAATTAAAATACAAACTAGCAATATTAAAATTATTAGTTCTTAATTGTAGTAGATCCCTAAGTATTTTAAACCAATTGACATTGCGTATGAATTATAAATTAGATGACAAATGAAGATTTAATACAAGCTTATAACAAGCACAATCAAATATGCTTGATGAAGTTGAAGATACTAGGCCCAGTGAAATTTCACAAATGGGTCGGAAGATTGTACGCATATCATACTCTTACATCATGGAGTTGGTAAGAGACTATTTTTGAAGGACCCTCGACTCGAGTATAACATATCAGAATAATGAAAAAAGGAAAATGACAGTGGAGAAACAAAGGAACTAATTATAAGGGAACAAGTAGCAACCACAAAATAATGCGATAACCTAAATGCAATCAACAACAAGTGATGGTGGAATCAAAAGCAAAACATTCTAAGAAAACGGTTAAATCCCTCAAAAATCAAGACAACATTCCATACCTACTAACCTTAATCCTAATACGCCATTTCCACAACCTCCCATCGAATGTCATGTGTTCGGTAATCTGGAGTTGCATCGTGTCCTGTCTAATCACTTTTTGGATCAATTTTGAAGAGAAATTTGGCCCAATAGCCCAATTCAACAAAGAGCAACTTTCACATATAGCAAATAAAACAAATCATATTTGTATGCTATAGCAAAATTTGCATAATTGCGCTCCATAGCAAACATATATATGTATAATTCGCTATACATATACAATTGAAAGCTATGTCTATTTCGCTATACATATATACAAAAAAAAAGCAATTGTATAATTCGTTGGCTCCTCTTCAGATTTGTATAATTTTGCTGGCAGGCCATTTGTATAAATTGTTGTTAGCCTCTCGTTTGTATAAATCGTTGACAAAAATATTTGTATATCAAAAATCGCTCTCTCTTTCGTTTTATACAAACATAAATTATACATTGTGCAAACATAAATTATACATTATATTTGTATAATCTGTGTTTGTATAAAACGAGAAAGAGAGAAAGGCAAAAGAGAACTGGGCAGGGGAATATTTTTATTGTATAATTATAAGTGTATAAGACGAATATATATGTATTTGCATGTGTATATACAATTTTCTCTCGCTTTATACAAACAGAAACACAATTTATACATTTATGTTGTATAAAGCGAGAGAGACGAGCGACAAAGAGAGCGAGCGAGAGAGGGAGAGTGGCGAGCAAGAGTTTGAGGGAGAGAGGCGACTGGCAAACAATTTGCTATAGGGCACAATTAAATCAAAGTGTGATTATACCATTTAATTTGAATTAATAGTTTGCCATTATGTACAATCTTAACTCGTTTTAGCCGGCGTTTGTTTGTAAACTGAAGTGTACTGTTACCTCTTGTTTTTCCTTGCTCGAATGCTTCTCTTCTTATTTGGTTTGCTATTGATACTTAGTGATCAGTCATTTTGGCTCGAGTTGGTTTATTGTAGCTGTTGAAGCTTTAGAATATGTCTTTATGTGCGGTTCATGCCTCGAATGCCTTGGATTAATAGTTTGATTCCCCTTTCTGTTATAATGCCCAGTAGCTCGTTTCCTTATCGTTCTTCATTCTCGTTTAGTTTGATACCTGTTAGGATGATTGAAATATCATATTTGATGTTAGTTCGATCACCATGTCTACATTCTCTGTATTCTGAGTGTGATGGTTGGTAATTTTAAATCTTCTTTGCGAGTTTATTGAAAGTTTTAACTTGATTGAGACTGTTATTCATCTTTGAGTGTCTTTAAAGGTTTCAAATGGATTAATGGGTCTGCTGGTTTTAGCTATATAGTATGTCTTTTTTCTGTTCTTTACTACCTTAGAGTTTTTCGAAAATGTAGCTGGTTACTCATTCGGTCTTCAGCATGTTGGTATTTGTTATTGTTATTTTTTTTTCCTTTCCAAATTAGGGGCAGAATCTTAAACTAGCTAAGTATAAAAGTTGTTTGTCGTTTTATCTATCTTTTGTTAATGTAGTCACTCTTTTTTCTCCATTTTTTGAATTTCTGAACTGTCTTGCTGTCCGGCATGCCTTGTTTGAATTGAGTCCATGCCCCCTATCTTGTTTATTTTTTTTAGTCGAAATTGCTTGCTGCCATATGATCTGTTTTCTTCACTTGGGTTGTGTTTAAGTTTCGTGATTCTACTTAGTTTGGTCTTAATATGGTGTCTCATTGAAATGGTGATTCGTAAATTTATCTTTAAATGTTTGATTGCCATATTTGAGTCGTTGAGACTATGTTTGTTTAAATGATATTATTAGTTTCCTACTTGATCATTTCTACCTGCCCTTTCTATGTTCCTAACTCTAATTGAGAGTAGTGCTTGTGTATTCATGGTCTAAGCTTACTGTTTCTCTGATTCAAGTTTCAAAAGAAAATTAAGTTTTTGGTCATTTGTGCGAGTCTTGCAATTTAAAATATTGCTCATTGTTTATTGAACTGATGAAGTGTTGCTTAATGCTACAATTTCCTAGTTATACATAAGCTCTTTTCACTGTCTTTAGTATCTATTCATTTCACTTCTCCAATTAGCCAATTAAAGGTGTGAAAGCAAAGTGATGGTTTTTCTAACTTAAATAATTAATTATTTTTTTACTTAATTGATGTATCTGCTAGCTATTTCATTAATTTTCTTAAGCAAAGGCTAATGCATTATATACTCTGTTTGACATGAACCCCATCTGAGTCCATTGTGGACACTCTCCATCTCCGTTGCATTTTGAGAGAGCCATAAAGGCTCAAACCCTTTCCTTTTCGAGTTAGCCAGCCATAGAATCCAAGTACTGGCCCAGGCGGACAGAAAACCAGACTTGGGCCCAAAACACTCTCTCTCTTTTAGTTGTTCTATATTCATTCAATTTTTTTTTTAATTATTTTCGCTTATGTGTTAGTCAATTTTAAAGTTTTTTCCTAATTTAAATTCCCCAAAGATAACCATTTTGAATTAACTACTTAAAACTGATAAATATTTTTTACTTGACTTTCAAGAACAATTTGCAAAATGTTTTACTTTAAGTAATATTTTTAATATTCCCTTTCCCCTTTAAGTTAACTCTTTTAATTTTTTTTTTGAAATAGTTTACTTCTTAATTAGTTAAGCATTGCTTATTTTAAAAATTATTTAGCCAAATAGTTAATTATTGGATAACCGCAAGTTAGCGGATGTTTTAGGTGCCTTTAAATCCTTCCTAAAACATTAATATGAACCCCGAACCCCCTTTAAAGATTTTCATTAGATTTTTTGTTTTTAATCTTTTGAAAAAATAGTTTTCTTAATTTTTTTTTAAAAATTAAGTGGTGACTCTTAAAACCCGTCGTTTTCTTTTTTTAAATATAAAACAATCACCTCTCTTGAATATTTTTTCCGCCTACTTGTGCCTCTCCTTATACCCACTATATTCAGCCTCTCGTATCTAAGAATAATGAAGGACTGACCCAGCCCGCGATCCTCTTAGGATTAGATTGGACTGATCATTTAAAGGCCCATTCAATTAGTGGGCCAGCCTACCCCAACTCGTTAAACTCTAAAGGCCCATGTGGATAGAGATGGGCCGGGCGAATGTCACCAGCTCTAATCCCTTAAAACCTCCGGTTACAGAGGATTTAAGGTTTCCGACGAGTTTCCCGGCGAGATTTGTTGAGATTGTGTCCAGATTCCAACGGTATTTTCTCCGTCTCTGTTGTATTTGTGCTGGAGGATCTACTTTGTTATCCGAAAATCTGCTTGCCCAGGTTCACTCTTTATACTTCATATCAAATAGTTCCTCCGTTTCAATTTGTTTGTTTGATTTTGATTTGGCTCGGAGTTTAAGAAAATTCAATTTGTTTGTTTGGTTTTGACTTAACACGGAGTTGAAGCAGTTAAAAAAGAGTACTTTTTTGATTACTATAGTCTTAAACTAAAGATAGATAGATAATATGGATTGGAATGGCCTTTAATCTGCTATAATTTGAACATGAGAACTCGTGATTCTCAATCTACTTTATTGAATATTCGGGAACACCGTTGGGTGCAACTGTTTAGATTAATTTAGTTGGATAATAATCATGATCTCCACGAGGTAGTGGTAAGGTCTGCGTACACTCTATCCTCCCAAACCTCACTTGGTGGGATTTCATTGGGTATGTTGTTGATAATAATCATGTCTTTTTATGTTTGGATCCCCATTTGAAGGTCACTTGAATAATAGTAGTTGTTGTTTGATATTGGCAGGGAAATATTTTACTAAAACTCCTTGGAGAGTCCTTTAGGCATGGATAATTCGCGTGCAAACCTGCTGGAGGAAGCGGTTGGCATTAGCAAAGGTGGGCGAGTGGTGGTGGTGGAGGATTGTGTTGAGACAAGCGGTGCCTTCGTGCTCCATCATTTCCTTAAGCGCTCTCTCTATCCTGACACTTCTGATGTTGTCATTTTCATCGCCTTTGCCCACCCTTTCTCTCACTATGAACGCATCCTTCGAAAGATGGTCAGCTCTCCCTCACTCCATTTATTGTATGACAAAATACTTACCTACCCCCCTGGCGTTCACCAAGTACTGGCTTTTATATAGAATTATCCTGTTAATCAATATGTATTCTCACCTCTATTTATCAATTAGGTATAGTAAGTTAACATACTTTGCTGCATCGGAAGAGTTTGGATAGCCATTTTTCATATCTATCTATCAACAGTTGTGTGCAATTAAAATAAAAAAGTAAGCAAAATTTGAACTTCTAATTGACTAGGATTGGATTCAAATTTTCTTGACATCTAGCATCATCCTTTACACAATAGGATAAATGTTCTTGACTTTTCAGAAGTTTTTCTTATTTTTGTCAGTCATTTTAATGGAATATTTTAGTTCTGCATACTTTTAAAGCCTCACAATCCCTTTTTCGTTATTTCCTAAACAGGGTTGCAACTTAACTGTGCATAGGAAGACTCACAGATTCGTATTTCTTGACATGCTGACATTGGAGTGCCCAGGTTAAGATGTCAAGCAGAAAGTTTTGTTAGCTATTTTCTTGTAATGTTGATTTACCCAAGCTTTAGTAGAGTCTGTTTGTGTACTTTGTGAGAATTTAACGTCCCATCAAGGAGATTAGAAGACATAATGAGCAGTCTCTTTGCTTATTTTATGTGAATTTTGACACCATTAATGAGGAGATAAAAAGACCTAATTACTTAGAAAAAAAATCAAAAGTTTAAAGGACCTATATTCAAGTGAAATAGGAATTTATAGCTCTTACGATGTTTTGGTGCTGCTTGTCCATTTTGAGAGCTGTTTATCAATTGTCTTCTGTTTACCTATGTAGAAAACTTGATTCTTAGGAACTTTTGGGAACCGATGCATCTCTATCGAATAAAGAGACAAAAAATAGTTCTAAAATTCACCCAGAAGGGTTCCACTATGAATTGGAAGTGTTACATGCATACTGCACTGCCTTTTTGTGTTTAAACAATACTCCCTCCGTCCAATTTAAGTGTCTTAGTTTGACTGAACACGGAATTTAAGAAGTAAAGGAAGACTTTAGAATCTTGTGGTCCTTAAATTAAAGATGTGTGTAGTCATTTAATTGTTGTGCTTAAACTTGCCATGTAATAATTGGAATTGAAAAAGTTACTAAATATAGAAAGAGATGCTCTTTTTGGGACAAACCAAAAATGAAAGTATAAGACACTTAAATTGTCCGGGACAGAGGGAGTACTTCTTTATGAGAGTGATTTTTAATTCTACCGATCTGTCTTAACATTACTTGATCCTCTTAGTTGTTTGCGCTCAATTCATGATTAGACAGAAATGGAAAGGAAACAAGACAAGATGGATTGCTTGCATTGTATGGGGAAATTGAGAAAGCGGTAGAGATATATTCTTCACTTGAAGGTAGTAGAACCATTACTATTATGATTGATGACATCTCCCTTATTGAAGTGGCGGCTAATGGTTTATCAAATCACGTGTTGGATTTTCTACACTACTGCTACACTCTGAAAGCAAAATATGTGAGCAATTTTATCCACTATTACTCTGCATCTAATTCAAACAATAGTTTGAGCTACGATCAATAGTTTCTTTTGGTAATTAGGAAAAAGTCAATAGCATGGGCTACGATCTTAATAATTTCTGTATCCAGGGCTGTTCCTTTGTTACTCTTAATCACGAGGATATCTATTCCAGTGCAAATACGCTGCCGTTAATCTTGCAACCGGAGTACCTCGCTGATGTGATAATCAAGGCAGAACCTTTGGCAACTGGTTTAGCAAGTGACGTGCATGGACAGGTATAATTTTAATACTACCTTTTATCCTTTCCCCTATATACATTAGTCGTACTGATACTGTGTCACCTTCTCTCCTCGACTAAAGGAAGGAAAAATCTAGAAGACTATCTCCTTTGTCTTTCAGCCTCGAACCTTTATTCATCTTTTTTCTAACTTTTGTTCGGTCTCTCTTTTTCCCTTTTATAATCCACAAACCTCATTTACCCAAAAAGAAAGAATTTTTAAAAAAAATCCAGTGGTCACACTCTTAGCGAATATGAGATGGGATTTGCTTGTGTTCTGAAAACTGATCGTCCTTACCGAATAACCTGATTGGTCAGTTGTGTGACCCTAAGGGTCCGTTTATGAACTTCAATTGTTGAAGAGCTAAAAGAAAGTCGAGAAATTGTAATAGCCTTCTCTCTTTTACGTAGAATTAGTGCAGTATCTGTGGCGGCTTTTAGCTGAAAACAGTATTCTTGTGATTGCTTGCAATCAAATGACTCGTTGGGATAACATGCACTTGGTGTTTTAGTCCATCTTGTTAATTCATTTCTCTCCTTTTGTTTCTCTTTTTCCCCTGCAGTTGACCGTTTTAAATAAAGGAAGTGTTTGTGACTTGGGAGACTCAAGTTCTAAGGTTCGCAATTTTCACTTTAGAGTCAAGGAAAACATCGTAGACTACTTCTATCCTGGGACTCAGACTTGAATAGATTCCATGTTCATTGCATTTGAACATTGGCCAGCATATTATAGACCGAAGGGTGCAGTGATTGCATCCCAAAGCATTGGCAGAAAAACAAAGATAACCAAAGAGTGAGGAGCAAACGATATTCATCTTTGATCTCTGTCGTCCTGACATGGTAATCTTTACTTGAAAGGCATAGAAACCAAATTTTACCTTCATTTTCGCCCTTGTTGGCTCTGTATGTTGTAGATGCCAGAATTTCTCTGAGTTTTATTGTTATGGAAATCCAGTTGCTTTCTGTTACCTTGGAATGCCTCTTTTCATACTTGTGCTGTGTTTCACATACTATGAAGTGCACCTTATCATGGTGTACAATCAACGGGACTTTCACTTTTTTTTCGAAGTTCAAACAATACACTGGATTTACGTTAATTTGATTATAGCATGAAAAACTACAGTGACGTGACCCGAGTGGTTAATATTTTTATTGTGCTTGTGGATTAGAAGACCCAGTAATTATTAGTTGATTCTCTTTTTCCCAACAACTAGATAATAGCTCTTTATCAACTGCTCTTAACTCAAGATTAGTAGGAAAGGAACACATACAATTTAAGTTGCTGTCAAACATATACACACACCAAACGAAAAATTAAGTCCGTCTTCTATGAGCTCTCTTCTTTGGCCTTCTTTTTCTGTGGGGAATAATGCCTTGGAAAAATTCCACAAACCATTTTGGCTTACCAGCTTTAAACATGAGGTTCCACGCAATAGTTCCAACAACAAGTCCAAAACTGTAGCCCATGACTACTGATTCCCATGTAAATCCACTAAAAAAATATGTCTCGTCCTCTTCTTCTTCCTCCAATGGTTGAGGAATATGCAATGGATCACCCGTTCCACATTGCTTTGATAAAGGAGGACCACATAAATCAAGGTTGCCACCATATGAGTCATTTTCAAATGTGTTGAACTGTGAACCTTGAGGAATGCGTCCAGCTAGGTGATTTTGAGAGAGGTTTAAGAATGCCAGAAAGGTTAGCCTTGTCAATTGTTGCGGAATCTTTCCAGTGAGTTGATTCCAAGAGAGATCTAACGCTTCAAGCATATTCAATCGTCCTAGTTCCATTGGAATATCACCTCTGAGATTGTTATGAGATAAATTGAGTAGCCAAAGTGAGCTGAGATCCTTTAGTGTTTTCGGAATCACACCTTCAAAATGATTGCTTGAGAGATCTATGGCTGTCATAATTGTAGTGATTCTTTCTAGCTCTATATCGTTTCCTTTGATCACCAACCTCACTGAATCATCGTACATAACAAAAAATGAGTCTGATGTTTTCATATATTCGATCTCACCTTTGTCACTGTCATCTATTTTGATCATTCCTTTGAAGTTTTGAAAAACTTCTGCAGGCAGTGAGCCACTGAACTCATTATGAGAGAGATCTAAAATCCGCAACCTGGGAAACCCAAACCTCAGCCTAGTACTTATAGGTCCATGGAACTTGTTCGACTTTAATATAAGGACTTGCAGCTCTTGAAGAGTTCCTAGCCAAGCTGGAAATGAGTCATTTACAGCGTTGTTCCCGATATCAAGAACTTCTAAACCAACACAGTTGAGTAATGACACAGGGACATGTCCTTCAAAATGATTACCATTCAAGATAATGGTCATCAATTGATTACCATCACCATTCAGGATACTGGTAGTCGATGAAGTGTGTTGACTACATAACGGTGGAAGACTCCCAGTGAAATTGTTCCTTCTTAAGTCCAACACCGTTAGCTGAGTCATGTTACCCAAGCAACTTGGAATCGAGTTACTGAAGTAGTTGTGTGATAAATCCAGAAGGCTAATGATGCTCATGTTACAAATGGATAAAGGTAGTGGACCCTGAAGGAAGTTAAATTTAAGATCAAGAGACACTAGACTATAGAAATGAGATAGATCTATGTGACCATTGAGTGAATTATATGAAAGGTTTAGGTGAAACAACGAGTCCCACCTCATCCCGCTAAACCAGTTAGGGATTTGACCACGAATCTTATTGTTAGAAAGATTTATGACCCGAAGTGTCTTTAAATTTTTTAGAAACTGTGGAAAATCCTTCAGTTCACAAGATGATAACCGCAAAATTTCTAGTCTAGGAAAAGTGATTTGTGTTCCCTCATCAACGGTGATATTGTTTGATGAAAGGTCAAGGTTTACAAGGTTTGTGAGATTTTGAAGTGATCGAAGAACAGGACTACTGAGTTGATTATAACTCAAATCTAAACGCCCTACTGCTCGATTCACTTTGAGCTCATCAGATAGTCCATTGAATAGATTATGATGGAGCTCCAACATATATAAAGAAGGGAGGCTAAACACCCAAGATGGTATTGTTCCATTTAGCAAGTTGTGAGAAAAATCCAGGTCAACTAGCTTTTGAAGCATGCTGACATTGCTTGGCAATGGACCAGACAAGGAATTACTCGACAAGTCTAAGTTTTCAAGACGTGTCAATGTTAAAATCGAAGAGGGAAATGGACCGATGAAGTTGTTATAAGAAAGATACAATGTAACTAGCTCTTGGAGGTTAGAGAAAACATCGGGAATTTTACCTCCAAGTGAGTTAAACGAAAGATCTAGACGGGTGAGATGTTTCAATTTTGAGACTGTTGAAGGAATATGGCCAGTAAAATGATTGGAACCAAAATCCAACTCTCTAATTTGTGTGATGTTGCCAATGGAATCAGGAATGAGACCAGATAAGTTATTGTAAGCAAGGTTTAGCGTCTGAAGACGATGAAGTTGGAAGAGGCTGCTGTTAGGATGAATAGTTCCGCTAAGATTTGCATTACTAAGGTCTAGGCCAATAACATAACCAGTTAACATGTCACAAGTGATCCAGCCCCAAGTGCAGCAATCCGTACTCTCATTCCAAGACGATGCTTTTGGGAGAGAAGTACTATAATGTCTAGAGTACTTGTCGGACATTTGAAAGTGTTGCTTGAACTGAAGCAAAGATAAAGCTTCACTGGGAGAGCAAAGATGCTGCACAAAGGATGAAGAAAAGCTTTGACTTAGGAAGACAAAACAGAGAAGTGAATAAAAGAAAACTAGACGTCCCATTGTTTATTTTTAGCAGATAACAAAATGTTCTTACAAAATCAATCATAATCCACAGTATATATAGAGTTAAAGGGCTGACTTTCTCCACACTCTGATTAGGGGCGGAGACATAGAGGTGCAAGGGGTTCAATTAAATCTCCCTCGTTGAAAAATTATACTACGTAAATAGAGCGATAATTTTTGTTTGAGTTGTTTACAGCTAATTGAACTCTCTGCTATTATTGTCCCATCAACATCTCTTTTGTTGACTTCCAACTTATCAGCCATATTTTTCTAGTTTTCCCACAAGAATGTTCAAAAAGAGAAACTTTGATTGACTAAGTCAAATGACATGATGTGTCGAGTTGTATGAATGCAATAAATTTTTAGTGCAATTTTTTCATGGAATCTATACGATCATAATAAGTCCAGATGTGTTGTGCTGCTTTAAGTTGATAATAGAGTGTAGAATTTTGAAGTCATTGAACCAATTAGTGGTCCATGGATGAGATAGTAACAAGAGGGGACACTTTAATCAAGTGAAACCAAGTTGGACAAATGCAATAAATTTTTTGTGCAACTTTTCCGTGGAATCCATACAATCATAAAAGGTCAAGAAGTGTCAAGTTGCTTGAGTAAATGTATAGGAAGGTGTCCATCTAATATGTTTTAATCATCAGAAATGCTTTACTTGAACAACCATTGATGCTAAATTAACACATACAATTAAGTTGTTATCAAACATATACAAACAACAAACAGAAAATTAAAAAGCAAAAACAGTAATAGAAAAGTTCAATCTTCAATTATGTCCTTTGTCTTGGCCTTCTCTTCTTTGACCTTCTCATTTTCTTGGGGAAAATGCCTTCAAAAAATTCGACAAACCATTTTGGTTTACGATATTTAAAAATGAAGCCCCACACAACAGTTCCAACAACGAGTCCAAAACTGTAGCCTATGACTACTGATTCCCACGTAAATCCACTAAAAAGATATGAATCGCCTTCATCTTCTTCGGAGTCCAATGGTTGAGGAACATGTGATGAATCACTCGTTCCACATTGCTTTGATAAAGGATGACCACATAGATCAAGGTTGCAACCATACGATTCATTTTCAAATGTGTGAATTGTGGACCGTGAGGAATTGGTCCAACGAGATGATTTTGAGAGAGGTTTAAGACTGCTAGAAAGTTCATTCTTGTCAATTCCCTTGGAATCTTTCCAGTGAGCCGATTCCAGGAGAGATCTAATGCTTCAAGCATATTCAATTGTCCCAGTTCCATTGGAATATGACCTATGAGATTGTTACGGGATAAATTGAGTAGCCAAAGTGAGCTGAGATCCTTTAGTGATTTCGGAATGACACCTTCAAAATGGTTGCTTGAGAGATCTATGGTTGTCATAATTGTGCTGATTCTTTCTAGCTCAGTATTGTGCCCTTTGATTACCAACCTCACTGAATTCTCATACGATGTGTAAGAGAAATTCTCATATGGTTCCATGTACTTGAAGGAAACGAACCGATGAAACTGTTACTATAAAGATCTAAATAACGTAGCTCTTGGAGGTTAGAAAAAACATCTGGAATTTCTCTTGAAAAGGAATTGGACTCAAGAACTAAATGTGTGAGGTGCTTCAATTTAGAGATTGTGGAAGGAATATGGCCAGTGAAATGATTACCCCAAAACCGCAACTTCCTAATTTGTGTTAGGTTGCCAATGGAATCAGGAATGACACCAGAGAATTGACATCCATAGAGGTTCAAGATATTCAAGGAACTGAAGATCATTCCAACTCAAATAGAGCGTTTCCAAGCTGTTTGGAAGAAGAAAAAAGCTCTCCGTGAGAACACCTCGCAGATTAGTATTATGAAGATCCAGGTGCCTTAAGGAAGAAGAAATATTGGAAGGTATCGGAGATGAGATGTTGACATAAGAGAGAGAAAGTAGCTCCAGATTTGTGAAGTTGTGAAGCATTGTTTCAAATGTTCTCTCATCAAGTTGTAAATCATAACTATAAGAAAGATCAAGTGAAACCAAATTGGAAAGGTATGAGATTTCTGTTGGGATTTTCCCATCAAAGTAGGAATCGGTAAGTGTTTACTACATCCCTACTCTGTTCAAATAGGGCGAAACGTCGCGGTGACTCAAAAAATAATCAATTGATTCAATTTTAAAAGAATTTTAAAGGAGTCGTCACCTAATTTTAGGAAAACTAGGAAACC